GATTAAGGTGTCTAAGAGGTCAGATTGTATTAGTCTTTTTTAGTTACATTAAAAACTAAACAAAGTGCAATATATATATATATATATATATATATATATATATATATATATATATATATATATATATATATATATATATATATATATGTATATATATATATATATATATATATATATATATATATATATATATATATATATATATATATATATATATATCTATATATATATATATATATATATATATATATATATATATATATATATATATATATATATATATATATATATATATATATATATATATATATATATATATATATATATATATATATATATATATATAAACAGATTTAGAAACTGCACCATTGGCTGCGACCCACATTGTAGTCGATTTTGGACTATTTACCCCCATATACCTCATGACTGTTCCAATTTCATCGCACGCACACAGACATAAACATACTAACCCAGTCCCCAGCATGGGGTCTTTTATTCAAGGCAGTAAATGGAGGGGACGGGATGCAAGCGGATGGTTTTCCTATTTGGGTTGTATTGATTGGAAGTGTTTATCCCTGCCTTAACCGTGAGCCCTCACTCAGCCGGAGGGCTACATCCCTCCCCTGCAGCCATATAAACCCCTCCTCTATTTAATACCTTCACCAATGCACTTCACTTTCGAGAAAGCCCAAGCGGGATCAACAGATTTGATCTGAATATTTGCTGAATGTAAGTTATAATTATATAAAACAATATTTTTTTAGGAAAACCAAAATAAGCAAACACTTTAAGCTCAAAAACATCCAACAATGAATGATTCTACTATGCTGGTTTGTTTGAATGACCCGAAACCAGCACAAACACAGTAGCAGTTTAATTGATAGTAAACCAAAAGTGAATCATAATATCTGAACATTCATAATATAGAATCATAATAGAAACCAATTTCATTATAAATGATTCAATAAAAATTACACAGCACAGCCCAATCAACTACTAAACAATCAATATTTACAAATATTCATAGTTAATCAAAACTATAAGGTACAAATGGTACCTACAGTAAACTAATGATTCTTATGGATCAACTGATTCCTAAATCAATTGATTCTTCTGAACCGATTCTTTTCCGAGACATAAGAGATTAAATATTTGTTCCAATAGATACCACATAACCACCATATTTTAATAAAATATCCACCACATCCAATTCAGTTCAGCCGATTCTCAATCATGTACAAACACATATTAAAGTTTAGTGCTATCTTTTGGCTCACCAGGCAGGAAAAGGAGTCATTCATGCGGTGTGTAAGTGTGTGTTTCTGCAGGATGATGAACAGGCTGGCATGATCGAAGTTGCAGGGCATGGCTGAGATGAGCTCCTCCACTCCCTGCCTCTGAGTCTTCTCCAGACCTGCATCAGAAACAAATTGTCAGAAGTCTGGCATGTACTAGCACACAACACCATTTTGTGCTAGGAATCCCATCCCCACCACGAAAGATGGTCAGTCAATGCCCATTTGTGCTGTAATTACATTGGATAATAATGTAATACAACATTTTTGACAGCATGCCCAGCTTCACATAAGAGAGTAAATGCATATATTAAATCGATTTTAGATGCACAGTAGTATCATTTGAACGATGATGGAACAGAAGTGTGGTTCACACCTTGAAACGCAATGTAAAAGACCAAAATCTGTGTTTGGTTACACGGTCTCCATCTTCGTACACAGCCTGCGTGTTTGCATTTCACCTCTTTTGGCCAAAGCTACGCTGTGAAACTCAGTTTTCCACATTTCAGCTGCAAAAACTGGCAGGCGCTCTGAAATGCTAGCGAAGCGTGGCTGCAAACTGCTGTAAAATATTAGCACTTTGTCCACATGCCCACATAAATATCGGCACCAGAGTGCTCTAATTTATCAATCGAACACCTCATGCATTCAAACCAGCCTTTTAAAATAAAAGGGCAGACCCTAGCTAAAAAAACACCCCGTGGCCTTTGCAAAGCTACGATGGGCTGAATGTTCTGATCTTTAGCGCATTAAATCTTTAAAACGCCGTCCGAGCCATGTGTGGAAGCAGGATATAAACAATAACGGGTGACTTGTGAGCACTTAAAGCAATTTTTTCGGTGGCTGGTGAAGACAGGTGAGTTGTGTAAAAGTGATGTCACTCGTTCAGACCACGCTGATTGAGTCTCGACCTTGAGTAAAAGGAGCGCACCTTTGTAAGAGCGCTGTAATTAGGATGAACGCGGCTGTGTGTTTGCTGACGCTCTCTCCTTTACGCATTCAGGCTTTCTGACACGAGGACCACGCAGAGGAACGGGAGAAATTGAATGCTGGGAGAGAAGAAAAAAAAAAAAAAAACACTGACACGTTCAGCATGATGCAAAGAGGCCAAGGGGTCAGGGCAAGTCAGAGAAAGAGGGAGAGGAAAGAAAGACGCGAGGCAGAAAAAGCAGGAGAAAGCACTAAAAGTGTGCCCAAGTTCATTTCCAGTCCTTTCACAAGCATCCTCAAAATGGGCTAATGGGAGGTCCGTGAAAAGCCTAACACTTGCTGGCGGCGTGTTGAGAGCCCACATATGCGGAGCGAGGGCCTTCGCTTCTCAAGGACCACAAAAGACCAAGGCTTTTGAGACACGTCTTCTGACGCCTCCATGGCCAGCGGCACCTTCTTGAGACGAGCATTAGTGATTGCTTTTATTAACGCTGCCATTTCTGGCATGCCAACGACTTGGTATTGACGGAGAAAAGCCCTGTACGTGCCTGGAAGCAGTGTGGGCATTTGTTGGTTCCCCCCAACAATATCACTTGTTAGGTGAGCAGAAGCACCCAATCTCCCAATTGACAAGAGGCCGCCCCATTGTCTGCGCTTTTAATTTGATGTAGGTCATTTTATGTTCATTACATCCAGAAAGGGAGAGAAAAGAGACAATGGGAGATAAAGTGGAGCGAGGCGTGGTATTGATCCACCTTTGCAGTCTTGACGGATCGGGTTTGACAGGAGCAGCAAAATTGATCCGTGTCAACTTTAAGTTATCGCTATTATCCATGGACAAGTGGACGGAGTCAGTGCGGAAGGGGGGGTTGCGTCGTCTTTAATCCCAGCTGAAGGGGCAGGGAACATGACTCGTGCGCTTCCTGGGCCGGGAGAAGCAGGCGGTCATGGCAGCAGTCACATCCATCTGACATCACTCCACAAGGCGGACAGGAGCTTTATGACAGGTATCAACACTGCAGCAGGGGCGATATCACAGGTACGGTCCGACGGGTCGCTTCAAGTGAATCCAGCCCGACTCAGAAAGACTAATGAAGCAGGACAGGACATCGGTGTTCAAGCGCCTGGATATGAAACACGAGTGCTTGTCGAAAACCACCAATCTGGCTATGAGAGGACGCTGGTCACAGTTGAGTGTAAGGCAGTGAGACAGCTCAGAGCTTAGATCTGTGCGAATCAATCAGTGATAGGAAGTCCTACGTCAAGGCGAGTTAATAATGTCATTGACTCGGCAAAACATGGCAGATTTTGTTAACAGGCATCAAATGGGTTTGATTTTTTTGGTTTCAGATGCATTCGTAGGATTCATTTAGTGGCATTTTTAAAATCTGCTTTCAATACACAATTAAATTCAGTCTGTAATAAGCATTTCTGAAAGAATGCTCGACCTTTTAATAGGTTGAATACCATGGTTAGAAGCAGCGATGATATTCATGTGCTGTTTTTTTTTTTTTTTTATCTGATAGGCACTGAAGAACTTTTCCATGCTCTTTCCATGTTCTTTGTCACGGTGTTCTCCATTATTCATAGATGCTTTTGCATAGAATCTTGGAAAAATCAAAAGATGTATTAAGGACATGACTCTGTATGGTCCAGTAAGACAAGTGGAAGGAGACCTTGAAAAGTGGTTTATGAAAGTCAACGATAAGGATACAGCCACTTTGCAAGTCGAATACTAGCGCATGCTTTAGAAAAGCGCATTATCTATTCATAAAAGCATATTTTCAAGCCTCCACTTCCTATACATGATCATAAAAAAAAGAAGGTGATTTTATAAATAAGACCACAGGAGATTGTATTTCTTATTCTAAATGCTAGTAATAAGACATGTTCCTTGCATTTAGCCAAGGTTCTGTACTAAATGAATGCCCTGGAGCTCTCAGAATGCTTCTTCAGAAGCCGTAATGATATAAAGCTCATTCGGCTCACTCGCTGTTTGTTGTAAGTGAGCAAACTGTAGCATTTCGGTGGTGTAAGGGTTCCTCCTTTCACTCAGCAGCAGTGTTTGGGTTATTCAAGCCCCCCACTGACATTTGTTTAGACTGTGTCTGTGCTGCGGCCCAATGGATCGATGGCTGGCCACCACAACCTCCAATTTCAAAGCCCATTCAGGAGGGGCCAGCAGAAGGTGACAGAAAAAGAGCCCAACTTCTATTGGTTTTACATGTTTGTTTGGCATCTTTTAGTTTTAAATGAGAACTTCAATAATAACAAAAAAAAAAAAAATTAAAAAAAATAAATAAAAAAAAAAATAATAAATAAACACATGTATTTACTTACTCTTGACTGGTTGCAAACATTTTTTTTTTCTGTTAGAATTTATATTGAAGAATGTAGGCATGGGTCTGTATAAGATTCTGATGGTATGATAACCTTGGATAAAAATATCACGGTTTCAAGGTATCACGGTATTGTGATTACTGCTCTAAAATATATTATTTTTAAATGTCTGGGTAAAAAACAAAACAATATGTGTGTGTATGTATGTATATATATATATATATATATATATATATATATATATATATATATATATATATATATATATATATACATATATATATATATATATATATA